TAGTTTGATTTGCAAAAGAACCATCACCATATCCGAGAAGTACACTTACATTGTCGTCATTATAATTAGCAATAACGATATCCAGTCGAGTGTCATTGTTAAAATCACCAACAGCTACAGAAGTTGGATGAGTGCCAGTTGAATATATATTTTGATTTGCAAAAGAACCATTACCATATCCGAGAAGTACACTGACAGTGTTGTCACCATTATTAGCAACGACGATATCCAATCGTGTGTCGTTGTCAAAATCACCAACAGCTATAGATTGTGGATAAGAGTCAGTCGGATACGTAGTTTGATTTGCAAATAAACCATTGCCATATCCGAGAAGTACACTTACAGTGTCGCTATCCCTATTGGCAACGACGATATCCAGTCGAGTATCATTGTTGAAATCACCAACAGCTACAGATTGTGGCCAAGAGCCAGTTGAATACGTAGTTTGTGGTTCAAAGCCTTCATCATAGCCAAAAAGAATACCTATACTGCCAGTATCATTGCTTATGGTAATGACATCAAATAGATTGTCTTTATTGAAATCAGCTACAACAAGCGAGATTGAAGAAGAAGAACCAGCTGAGCTCATTGTTGGTTCAGAAAAACTGCCATTACCAAGTCCCAATAATACACCTATGTTATTAGTACCTTTATTACTGACGACTAAGTCAACTCGGTTGTCTTTATTGAAATCTCCAAGGCCAATAGAATATGGTGAAGAAGTATTAAGCGAATACATTGTTTGACTGGTGAAAATGCCGGTGGTGCTACCCAGAAGTACGCCCACATTGTTAGCTCCGTAATTAGCGACAGCAATATCTAATAGACTGTCATAATTAAAATCAGCAACGATGAGTGAATATGGATGTGAATCAATTCCAGTAGAAAATACTTGTTGATGTAAAAAGGTTCTGCTGCCATTTGCAATAAATATAGCTATATTATTTGTACCATAATTGGCAATAGCAAGATCTAATTGATTATCATTGTTAAAATCTGCACTGATGACCGAGAATGGCGAAGAATCATAGCCGGTTGAAATTGTCATCGGATATGCAAAACGTCCATCTCCAGATCCATAAAATATGCTAATACTATCAGTTCCATAATTAGCTGTAACGATATCGAGTGATGTGTCATTATTGAGATCAGCTATATGTATCCAAATTGGACGGGATGAACCAGTTGAGATTACTGTTGTATTAATAAAAGAACCGTTTCCGAATCCAAGAAATATACCGATGCTATTGGTACCGAAATATGCGACAGCAATATCCGTGTGATGATCATTGTTGAGATCACCAATCGCCACCATGTATGGAGCAGAATATAAACCAGTCGAATACGTCATGTTGCTTGCAAAAGCATCATTATTAAATCCAAGGAATACAGATATACTATTAACCATACTATTGGCAACAACAATATCTAACAATTCGTCATCGTTGAAATTGCCAACGGCAACAGATCGAGGACCAAAACTATATTCCACTGGGTTTTGAGGAGTTTGTATAAATTTCAGTTCACACGGTTGAACTAAATTTAAAAAAATAATGTAAAAGTTAATTAGTTGTTACGATGTATATATTCTTATTGAATTCGTAGAATCTTATGTAGTTTTTTGAGTCCTCAAATAGTAAGTAGACGTCATGCATACTTGTTCAGCTATTTCCACTTACTGTAGAACTGTTTTAAAAAAACGCGTTGTTTTAGAAAAAGAACAAATAATATTAATGTCTCAAACTAAATGTTTAAGCTACGTTTCTTCTCAATCACACAATTTCTTTTGTAGACTATTCTTAGTTACAAAGTTAATACAATGATGAAAATTCTTCAACTGTGGCGGATGAAATCTAATGAATATTAGTTCTATTGTGTGACGATAATGAAAAACAACACACAGAACATAATAAATTGTTTATCGATTGATGAAAACTCTTCTTCCTCAAAGAAATATACTAGTTCTATTTATTATTTTATCATACTATTACTAAGAATGAATAGAAAAGTCCTATAAAATAATAAATAAATAAAAATAAATTTATATCATATGTTTAATTGGTGTATGAAGAAAAATCAGAACATACCTTTTGCTTTCGGTGAAGTCAGACAAACTATTATAATGCTTGCAGTCATTGTTAGGGTTGCGAAGAGAGCAAATGCACCTACACCTGTTGCAGTTCGATGTCTTGACCGACACGAATATTCCCTAATGAAAATATATTCTATATATATTATAATGTTTGAGATGAGAAAGAAATGATATACAAAGCTGTTGAAGTCATTGGCGACTTCTTTATTTTCCTAGTAACATCGGCAGATTGTGCTGCATTAGACTGGTTTTGTGTTGAGCTCTCATGTTGCACATTATCCACATGAATATCTTCTTCAGCAAATGAATGTCTATCTCTGATAGCTACAATAGCCACAGAATTTTTATTCATCTATATTAAAATAAGTCATATTTAACAAAAGACAGTTTTTAGAACAAATTTTTTATCAATTACCTTTTGTATTATTGATTATGTCCTTTGAACGTAGAAATTCTGTAAATTCTAGATAAATAAGAAAATTTCTAAAAAAAATACACAAATTGATTTAATAATTTTAATCTAGAATATAAAATGTCGAAAAAATTTATTTGTGAATTGTCTCTAAATCAACAGAGAAAAATTCAACCTGTCGGGAACAGATACACTATTTGAAACAGTTTGAGCCTTATTATAAATTAAAACGTACAAGATAAATAAATATTAAAAATATGTATGTAGAGAATAGTTTGAGCCGATATATAACTTCTTTTTTCTCGAACTGACTTGATTAACTTAACTACTTTTGGATACCCTTAAGTAACTGGTCAAATTAAAAAGCTGTACTAACATCCTTTTAAATGATCTCGTTGTCTTCTTGATTTATTTATTTGTTCATCAAATGGTAATAAGAAATGATTTTATTATAACTTAAGGCTTTGATATAAATTACTTCGATCGATCATTTTGATTTCATGGGTTATAATTTGATGTTACTTCTCAGTTTTAGTTTCCATGGTTTTGTATGTAACTAATAAAATCAATAATTACTAGAAAAGACAATTAGCGGTAGTTTCTATTCAACAAAAAAACAGGAAAAATGGTATATGAAACCAAAACGAAATGAAAATTGAAAAAAAATAGATAAAAATGTATTTTCCTATAAAAAATATAAGCTAGTACTTTACAAACAGTAATAGTTAATTATTCTCAAATGCTTTGACGAAGAATATTTATTTCAGTTTTAAACAAAAATAAAAGTATAAAAAAAGAATGATATTTACCCCTATTTGAATTTTCAGTATGTGTATCGTTTACGTTTTCGTCTGAGTATTTATTCTCACTGATCAATGAGATTATTATCTAATGGATACCTTGTTTTTTATATATGTTGAGTCATTGTGCGACTGAAATATATATATAAAATATTTTATCGACGAAATAAATAACGTCAAAACAACATTATAGTC